GGTGAAGCTGACCCCTCACTATACATTATCATCCCCAGCGTCGTCATTATTATTATTATTATTATTATTATTATTATTATTATTATTATTATTATTATTATTCACATCTTTAATTTCTTCTTCTTTTTAGTGTCTTATTCTTTAATTCTTTATTATTCCTTCCTCCCTTTACTCCCTCTCTCCTCCCCCCCACTTCTCTCCTCCTTCCCTCTTTCTCCCTCTTGAGGCCATTTTTTTCCCTCGTTGCAAAATTGAAGATGGTTCAAGATGTTTCCCCTCATAACACTGTTTATTTCCTTATGTTCTCTCCCCTTTATCTCTCCTTTATACCTCTGCTCCTTCCCTTTCTTTGACTTCTTCCTTTCCCCTCCTCGTCTCCTCTCCCTTCCTTCCCTTCCTCTTCTCCCTCTTCCTCTCTCATCAGTCTAAGTACTTGATTGTCCTTAAACCATTGTTGACTTATAGGTCATCCTTCCCCCACTCTCCTCAGCCTTCCCCTCTCACTCCTCCTCCTCTTCCTCTCCCCCCCTCATCATTGCTCTCCTCTCCACCACCCTCCCCACTGCCCGCCTCCTCACCACACTTCACAGTTTTTTCTCCTGTCATCTTTCCTCTTCCTTCCCTTCCCCCTCCCCCTTTCACAGCTCTCTCTCTCTGTGTGTGTGTGTGTGTGTGTGTTTAAATAACAGTCATTAGCTTGTACTTCCATCTCTGTTGATCAATAAGTAGGTTATAAGGTGAAGGACGGAGGGAGGAAGGCCACCAAACACAGTTTTGAGGAAGGAAGGAAGGAAGGAAGGCCACCACAGCACTTTGAGGAAGGAAGGAAGGAAGGAACAAAGGCCACCAACACAGCACTTTGAGGAAGGAAGGAAGGAAGGAAGGAAGGAAGGAAGGAAGGAAGGGACAAGGCCAACACAGCACTTTGAGGAAGAAGGAAGGAAGGAAGGCCAAACCAGCAGCACTTTGAGGCAGAAGGAAGGAAGGAAGGCCACCAACACAGCACTTTGAGGAAGGAAGGAAGGAAGGAAGGAAGGAAGGCCACCAACACAGCACTTGAGGAAGGAAGGAAGGAAGGCCACCAACACAGCACTTTGAGGCAGAAGGAAGGAAGGAAGGCCACCAACACAGCACTTTGAGGAAGGAAGGAAGGAAGGAAGGAAGGTCACCAACACAGCACTTTTGAGGCAGAAGGAAGGAAGGAAGGCCACCAACACAGCACTTTGAGGAAGGAAGGAAGGAAGGTCACCAACACAGCACTTTGAGGGCAGAAGGAAGGAAGGCCACCAACACAGCACTTTGAGGAAGGAAGGGAAGGAAGGAAGGAAGGTCACCAACACAGCACTTTGAGGCAGAAGGAAGGAAGGAAGGCCACCAACACAGCACTTTGAGGAAGGAAGGAAGAAGGTCACCAACACAGCACTTTGAAGGATGGAGGATGGGAGGAGGGAGCGTTACTAAAACATTTGCCTGCACTAAAGACGCTCCGTTTCATAATGTTAATGGCACGAGAGGGTAATTGGCACACCTTTGATGTAAACGGGACGCCGAACTCTCCCTCCCTCCCTCTCCCTACAACATCAAGGGGGTCACCACCTCAACATCAGGGGTAGGGGGTCACCTCACCTACAACATCAGGGGGAGGTCGGACCTCACCACAACATCGGGGTCGTACCTCACCCACAACATCAGGGGGAGGGTCACCTCACCTACAACATCAGGGGGAGGGGGTCACCTCACCTACAACATCAGGGGGAGGGGTCACCACCTACAACATCAGGGGAGGGGTCGTACCACCCACAACATCAGGGGGAGGGGGCCGTACCTCACCTACAACATCAGGGGGTGCACCACCTACAACATCAGGGGAGGGGTCACCACCTACAACATCAGGGGAGGTCGTACCTCACCTACAACATCAGGGAAGGGGTCGTACCTCACCTACAACATCAGGGGAGGCCGACCTCACCTACAACATCAGAGGGGGAGGGGGTCGTACCTCACCTACAACATCAGGGGTGGGGGTCGTTCCAACTAGAGCCATGACAGAGGCGCAATCAATCGTCTATGTAGAAAACGTTCAAAGGTGACTACTCGCCTCTCATCAACGCCTGACTCAAACGTTTGGGACGGTCAAGGGGAGAACGTTTCCCGTCCAGCCTGAGATTAGAACGTTTGTTGTCGCGTGTTGAGATGATCAGCTGTGAGGGAACGTTTAGATGGATGGATGGATAGATAGATAGATAGATAGATAGATAGACAGATAGTACGAGTGTACAGGGTGTTTATAATGTCCCTTGATGGTATTATTATTATTATTATTATTATTATTATTATTATTATTATTATCATTATCATTATCATTATCATTGTTATTGTTATTGTTATTATTATTGTTATTATTATTATTATTATTATTATTATTATTATTATCATTATCATTATCATTATCATTATCATTATCATTATTATTATTATTGTTGTTGTTGTCATTATTATCATTATTGACATTAGTATTTTTATAACAGGCTCTAGATAAACAATGAACAAGCCAATATGATAATGAAGTATGTCCCGTGTATGATGGGTGTGTTTACAACCAGTATGATGACCCTGGGTATGATGAAGTCGTAGGTAGGGGGGCACGGCGGGGCATTTAGTGTGGGTCACAGGTCAAGTGAGATCAGGGTTGCTGGTCAAACGGGCACCAGTTCTGATAAGAGTCCAATCTAACCTAACTTAACCTAATCTAACCTAGCCTAGCCTAACCTAACCATTTGGTATCTAAGATAATTTAAAAGTTAAATACCATTAGATTTCTGGTCATGTTTAGATTGGGGCCCATTAGACTATATTTCTTAAAATTGGGGGCCCATTTGTAACATCTGGGGTCTATTTTCCCCAGATGAAAGACGTCAATGGGGTTCACTTTTTTTTTGCTAATTACATCTGAGGTATTTTTCTTAATTGTTATTTCGCCTCACCTGCGCTTTGTTCAGTATTTCACAAAGGTATTTCAAGTGTTAATTGTCATGGTTCTCACGTTAGCAGTCGTTCAGTGTCACCATAACACCTTTGTCCATTATTTCACACACACACACACACACGGTAACTATTGTTAGGTTAGGTGGGGCATTTTCCTGTCTCTTCTCTGCCTCATAACCCGGAGTTAATTTTGGGTTCCGGGTTGGTGGAGGGAGGGATGCGTAGGAGGGATGGGAGGTAGAAAGGCGAGGGGGAATGGAAGAAGGAGGGGATGGGGAGGGAAGGTGGGAAGGAGAGAGGGAGGGAAGGTCGTCTAGGGCAGCACATTAGCGTTAAGTTGGCTGTCTACGCCCAGACGGTAATTGACAACACGTCTGGTAGGGTGGATGGGGGGAGGAGGGGGGGATACGACCCTTGGCTCGTTCACCAGGTGGGGGCCAGGTGTAGCACTCACCTGGTCTGTCTGGTACAATGAGGGGGTGGGTAGGGGGGCGCTTGTACGACGCCCTGACATACACCCCTTCATCACGCCCCTTCCCATATACCTGCTGGTCACTGCAAGTCTCTCACACATCTGTCTTCCACGCCCACACGCCCACTACACACGTATGTCTACACCCACACGCCCACTACACACGCCCTACACAGAAATATATCTGTCTGTTGAAAGAATTAAAGTATGAAGTGATTAATTAAACCAAGGCAAGTGCAAATACAGTGGTGAGAAACATTACTACAGGTACAGTGGTGAGAAACATTACTACAGGTACAGTGGTGAGAAACATTACTACAGGTACAGTGGCGAGAAACATTACAGGTGCAGTGGCGAGAAACATTACTACAGGTACAGTGGTGAGAAACATTACTACAGGTACAGTGGTGAGAAACATTACTACAGGTACAGTGGTGATAAATATTACTACAGGTACAGTGGTGAGAAACATTACTACAGGTACAGTGGTGAGAAACATTACTACAGGTACAGTGGTGAGAAACATTACTACAGGTACAGTGGTGAGAAACATTACTACAGATACAGTGGTGAGAAACATTACTACAGGTACAGTGGTGAGAAACATTACTACAGGTACAGTGGCGAGAAAACTTACTACAGGTACAGTGGTGAGAAACATTACTACAGGTACAGTGGTGAGAAACATTACTACAGGTACAATGGTGAGAAACATTACTACAGGTACAGTGGTGAGAAACATTACTACAGGTACAGTGGTGAGAAACATTACTACAGGTACAGTGGTGAGAAACATTACTACAGTCAACGGTATAACTTTATCTCTAAGACCTCCTCTATTTATGAGGTCAGAGGTCAGGTGGGTCGAGTGCCAAGCTAGTGCCAAGGCCTTCTGGAATGTAATTTTGGCGGCACTCTTAACTTGGCCCCTCTGGCATAATATGTTTTTCGAGTGTTCAATAAGATAGATTTATTAGAGGTTGGAGGTTCTCTTGGGCCCCAGTCTTATGAGGTTACAGTCTTTTGAGGTTACACAGTCTTATGAGGTAATGCAGTCTTATGAGGTTACACAGTCTTATGAGGTTACACAGTCTTATGAGGTTATACAGTCTTATGAGGTTATAGTCTTATGGGTTTATACAGTCTTATGAGGTTATACAGTCTTATGAGGTTACACAGTCTTATGAGGTTATAGTCTTATGAGGTTACACAGTCTTATGAGGTTACACAGTCTTATGAGGTTACACAGTCTTATGAGGTTATAGTCTTATGAGGTTACACAGTCTTATGAGGTTACACAGTCTTATGAGGTTACACAGTCTTATGAGGTTATACAGTCTTATGAGGTTACACAGTCTTATGAGGTTATAGTCTTATGAGGTTACACAGTCTTATGAGGTTATACAGTCTTATGAGGTTATAGTCTTATGCGGTTACACAGTCTTAAGGAGGTGTACACAGTCTTATGAGGTTATACAGTCTTATGAGGTTACAAGTCTTATGAGGTTACACAGCTTTATGAGGTTACACAGTCTTAAGGAGGTTATAGTCTTATGAGGTTACACAGTCTTATGAGGTTACACAGTCTCATGAGGTTGCACAGTCTTATGAGGTTACACAGTTCTGAGGTTACACAGTCTTATGAGGTTACCAGTCTTATGAGGTTACACAGTCTTATGAGGTTATACAGTCTTATGAGGTTACACAGTCTTATGAGGTTATACAGTCTTATGAGGTTACACAGTCTTATGAGGTTATAGTCTTATGAGGTTATACAGTCTTATGAGGTTACACAGTCTTATGAGGTTACACAGTCTTATGAGGTTATAGTCTTAGGAGTTTATACAGTCTTATGAGGTTACACAGTCTTATGAGGTTATAGTCTTATGAGTTTATACAGTCTTATGAGGTTATAGTCTTATGAGGTTACACAGTTTTATGAGGTTACACAGTTTTATGAGGTTATAGTCTTATGAGTTTATACAGTCGTATGAGGTTATAGTCTTATGAGTTTATACAGTCTTATGAGGTTATAGTCTTATGAGGTTACACAGTTTTATGAGGTTACACAGTTTTATGAGGTTATAGTCTTATGAGTTTATACAGTCTTATGAGGTTATAGTCTTATGAGGTTATACAGTCTTATGAGGTTACACAGTCTTATGAGGTTATAGTCTTATGAGTTTATACAGTCTTATGAGGTTATAGTCTTATGAGGTTACACAGTTTTATGAGGTTACACAGTCTTATGAGGTTACACAGTCTTATGGAGGTTACAGTCTTATGAGGTTACAGTCTTAAGGAGGTTACACAGTCTATGAGGTTATACAGTCTTAAGGAGTTATAGTCTTATGAGGTTACACAGTTTTATGAGGTTAAGGTCTTATGAGGTTATAGTCTTATGAGGTTATAGTCTTCTATGAGGTTATACAGTCTTAAGGAGGTTATACAGTTCATGAGGTTACACAGCCTTTATGAGGTTATAGTCTTTTTGAGGTTATAGTCTTATGAGGTTATACAGTCTTTTGAGGTTATAGTTCATGAGGTTATACAGTCTATGAGGTTACAGTCTTATGAGGTTATAGTCTTTTGAGGTTATAGTCTTATGAGGTTGCAGTCTTATGAGGTTACAGTCTTATGAGGTTATACAGTCTTATGAGGTTATAGTCTTATGAGGTTATACAGTCTTATGAGTTTACAGCTTTATGAGGTTATACAGTCTTATGAGGTTATACAGTCTTATGAGGTTATACAGTCTTTTGAGGTTATAGTCTTATGAGGTTATAGTCTTATGAGGTTATACAGTCTTATGAGTTTACAGTCTTATGAGGTTATACAGTCTTATGAGTTTACAGTCTTATGAGGTTATACAGTCTTATGAGGTTATAGTCTTAGGAGTTTATACAGTCTTATGAGGTTATAGTCTTATGAGGTTATAGTCTTATGAGGTTATACAGTCTTATGAGGTTACAATCTTATGAGTTTATACAGTCTTATGAGGTTATAGTCTTTTGAGGTTACACAGTCTTATGAGGTTATAGTCTTAGGAGTTTATACAGTCTTATGAGGTTATAGTCTTATGAGGTTATAGTCTTATGAGGTTATACAGTCTTATGAGGTTACAATCTTATGAGTTTATACAGTCTTATGAGGTTATACAGTCTTATAATGTTATACAGTCTTATGAGGTTACAATCTTATGAGTTTATACAGTCTTATGAGGTTATAGTCTTATGAGGTTACACAGTCTTATGAGGTTATAGTCTTATGAGTTTACAGTCTTATGAGGTTATACAGTCTTATAAGGTTGTACAGTCTTATGAGGTTACAATCTTATGAGTTTATACAGTCTTATGAGGTTATAGTCTTATGAGGTTATAGTCTTATGAGGTTATACAGTCTTATGAGGTTATAGTCTTATGAGTTTACAGTCTTATAAGGTTATACAGTCTTATGAGGTTACAATCTTATGAGTTTATACAGTCTTATGAGGTTATACAGTCTTATAATGTTATACAGTCTTATGAGGTTACAATCTTATGAGTTTATACAGTCTTACGAGGTTATAGTCTTATGAGGTTACACAGTCTTATGAGGTTATAGTCTTATGAGTTTACAGTCTTATGAGGTTATACAGTCTTATAAGGTTGTACAGTCTTATGAGGTTACAATCTTATGAGTTTATACAGTCTTATGAGGTTATAGTCTTATGAGGTTATAGTCTTATGAGGTTATACAGTCTTATGAAGTTATAGTCTTATGAGTTTACAGTCTTATGAGGTTATGCAGTCTTATGAGGTTACACAGTCTTATGAGGTTATAGTCTTATGAGTTTACAGTCTATGAGGTTATGCAGTCTTATGAGGTTACACAGTCTTATGAGGTTACACAGTCTTATGAGGTTACACAGTCTTATGAGGTTACACAGTCTTATTATGCAGTCTTATGAGGTTGCCACAGTCTTATGAGGTTACACAGTCTTATGAGGTTATAGTCTTATGAGTTTACAGTCTTATGAGGTTATGCAGTCTTATGAGGTTACACAGTCTTATGAGGTTACACAGTCTTATGAGGTTACACAGTCTTATGAGGTTACACAGTCTTATGAGGTTACAGTTACTCCCACCTTTTCTCCCACTCACTCACTCTCTTACACTGCCTCACCCTCCCTCACTTTCTACCTTACCCTCACCCACCCTTCCCCCTCCTCCCCCAAGCCCTCTCTCGCCCTTCCTCATCCTCACTATCCCTCCTTTCTTACCCTCATCCTCCCTCCCTCCCTCCCTCCCTTACTCTCATCCTCCTTCCTCCTCCCCCTTCCCTTCCCTCCCCCTCACCCTCCCTCACTTCCCCTCACCCTCCCTCACTTAGGGTGACACGCTCAATAAACACAACTGGTCTTGTCTGGTTTAAGACATGGTGACACCAATGAAGCTGTGTGTGTGTGTGTGTGTGTGTGTGTGTGTGTGTGTGTGTGTGTGTGTGTGTGTGTGTGTGTGTGTGTGTGTGTGTGTTACCGTGAACCCCCTCACTTGGGTTGGCTGGGTATACCTGGACGAGTCAGCTGATGTGTAAACAAACTCACGTGAGAGAAGACCACAACACCTGTCCCAACTCCTCCTCACTAAACACTTCTGACAGAGTGGTGTGTTGTCACTCTCACCCTCCCTTATATATAGCGCCAGTACGAGCGATCACCAGCGCCTGACGTTCACTCAACCTCACAATAAAGCCTGATAAATATTCCCCAGTGAGCATGGGGTCAGCTGGCCTCAACACACAGCTGGTTATGGTAGGGTCAGCTGGCCTCAACACACAGCTGGCTATGGTATGGTCAGCTGGCCTCAACACACAGCTGGTTATGGTATGGTCAGCTGGCCTCAACACACAGCTGGGTATGGTAGGGTCAACTGGCCTCAACACACAGCTGGCATGGTAGGGAGCTGGCCTCAACACCAGCTGGTTATGGTGCAAGCCACACAGCTGGCTATGGTGGTCAACTGGCCTCAACACACAGCTGGCTATGGTAGGGTCAGCTGGCCTCAGCTGGTAGTACTGGCTGGCTCACAGCTGGCTATGGTAGGGTCAGCTGGCCTCACACACACAGCTGGGTGGTAGGTCAACTGGCCTCAACACACAGCTGGCTATGGTCAGCTGGCCTCAACACACAGCTGGCTATGGTAGGGTCAGCTGGCCTCAACACACAGCTGGCTATGGGGGGTCAGCTGGCCTCACACACAGCTGGCTATAGGGTCAGCTGGGCTGGGTATGGTAGCTGGCCTCACACACAGCTGGCTATGGTAGGGTCAGCTGGCCTCAACACACAGCTGGTTATGGTAGGGTCAGCTGGCCTCAACACACAGCTGGTTATGGTAGGGTCAGCTGGCCTCAACACACAGCTGGTTATGGTAGGGTCAGCTGGCCTCAACACACAGCTGGTTGTGGTAGGGTCAACTGGCCTCAACACACAGCTGGCTATGGTAGGGTCAGCTGGCCTCAACACACAGCTGAGCTATGGTAGTTCAGCTGTACAGATCAACATCATTGACTTAGGAAGTATTAGTTAAACTTGACGCCTCACTGGGGTCAAGTTGCTCACACACACACACACACACACACACACACACACACACACACGTTACAACAATACAACCTGTGGTGCTGTATAGTAGTTAATTACTGTACCTGAACTTTATAACTATACCTTTAACTTACCTGTACCTTACCTGTAATTATACGGGTTTTTGTAACTTTATTTGGAGGAAGATGAAGAGAGGAGGAAGGGAAGATGATGATAAACAAAGAGGAAGTGAGGAGAAGGAAGGGGGAGGAAGATGGTGTAGTGGTAGGGAAGAGATGAAGGGAGGAGGAGGAAAGAGATAATGATGATGAAAGAACACGAGAAATAGAGCGAGATAAGAGTAACGGGAGAGGAAGGACAGGGCCGATAATTACGGAGACGGAGAAGAAGAGGGAGGCAGAGAATTAAGGTAGAAAGAGATGGTTAAGAAAGAAGGACATGAGAAAGATGGGAATAGCAAGAGAGGGAGAAACTGATAAGAAATTAAAAATAGAAAGAAATAGAAGGAGACGAAGAAAAGAAGAAGAAAAAGACGAAGATGGAAGAGATGAAGACGGAAGAGATGAAGTTGGAAGAGACGAAGATGGAAGAGACGAAGATGGAAGAGACGAAGATGGAAGAAAAGGAAGAAGGAAAAGATGAAGAAGAAGAAAAAAGACGAAGATGGAAGAGACGAAGAGGAAATAATGATGGTGTACAGGTAATGGATGGACACACACACACACACAAGTGTTGATGATGATGAAGAAGAAAGGGGAGAGAAGTGGGTAGTGATTGATGGAGAGGAGACGAGAAGAGAGAGGGAGAGATTGGTGGTGAGGGCCAGGTGCCACCATAAGGGCCGTGTGCCACCATGAGGGCCGTGTGCCACCATGAGGGCCAGGTGCCACCATGAGGGCCGTGTGCCACCATGAGGCCCGTGTGCCACATGCCAGGTGCCACCGCCGTGTGCCACCATGAGGGGTGCCACCATGAGGCCTGTGCCACCATGAGGGCCGTGCCACCATGAGGGGCTGTGCGAGGCCGTGTGCCCACCATGAGGGCCGTGTGCCACCATGAGGGCCGTGTGCCACCATGAGGGCCGTGTGCCACCATAAGTGGGCCGTGTGCCACCATGAGGGCCAGTGCCACCATAAGGGCCGTGTGCCACCATGAGGGCCGTGTGCCACCATGAGGGCCGTGTGCCACCATAAGGGCCGTGCCACCATGAGGGCCGTGTGCCACCATGAGGGCCGTGCCACCATGAGGGGCCAGGTGCCACCATGAGGGCCGTGTGCCACCATGAGGGCCGTGTGCCACCATGAGGGCCGTGTGCCACCATGAGGGCCTGTGTGCCACCATGAGGGCCGTGTGCCACCATGAGGGGCCGTGTGCCACCATGAGGGGCCAGGTGTGCCACCATGAGGGGCCGTGTGCACCACCAGGGCCGTGTGTGCCAGGTGCCACCATGAGGGCCGTGTGCCACCATGAGTGTGCCACCAGTGTGCCACCATGAGGGCCGTGTGCCACCATGAGGGGCCGTGTGCCACCATGAGGGCCGTGTGCCACCATGAGGGCCAGGTGCCATGAGGGGCTGTGCCACCATGAGGGCCGTGTGCCACCATGGGGCCGTGTGCACCAGGGCCAGGTGCCACCATGAGGGCCGTGCCACCATGCCAGGTGCCGCTGTGTGGCCACCATGAGGGCCAGGTGCCACCATGAGGGGCCGTGCCACCATAAGGGCCGTGCCACCATGAGGGCCATAAGGGCGTGTGCCACCATAAGGGCCGTGTGCCACCATGCCAGGGGCCGTGTGCCACCATGAGGCCGTGTGCCACCATGAGGGCCTGCCACCATGAGGGCCAGGTGCCACCATGAGGCCGTGTGTGCCACCATGAGGGCCGTGTGCCACCATGAGGCCGTGTGCCACCATGAGGGCCGTGTGCCACCATGAGGCCGTGTGCCACCCGGGTGTGTGTGCCACCATGAGGGCCGTGTGGAGGGCCGTGTGCCACCATGAGGCCGTGTGCCACCATGAGGGGCCGTGTGCCACCATGAGGGCCGTGTGCCACCATGAGGGCCGTGTGCCACATTACCGGGTGCCACCATGAGGGCCGTGTGCCACCATGAGGGCCGTGTGCCACCATGAGTGGTGTGTGTGCCAGGGCCGTGTGCCCCATGTGTGCCACCATGCTAGAGCCAAGGTGGCCAAGAGAGGAGTAAGACGTCGAAATGTGAGGTGTGGCCACGTGTGAGGTGTGGCCACGTGTAAGGTGTGGCCATGTGTGAGGTGTGTCCACGTGTGGTGTGGCCAAGTGAGGTGCGGCCACGTGTGAGGTGTGTCCACGTGTGAGGTGTGGCCAAGTGAGGTATGGCCACGTGTGAGGCGTGGCCAAGTGAGGTGCCATTATCATCATGACGTTGTGCCACCACTTACTACATCGTCTCTGACAGTGGCCACGTGTGTGTGTGTGTGTGTGTGTGTGTGTGTGTGTGTGTGTGTGTGCCCTTTAAATGGCCTTAACTGACAGTGGCCACATTCCTCAAGAGTGGCCACATTCCTCAGTGGTCAGAGTGGACAAGTCCTTCACCTGTCACTGGTCATCTCGAACCCACTTTGATGATAGTTTGGGGCGGCTCCAGTAGGCCTAAATCCTAATGGTTATTTCATCTTAGGTTGGGCCCTATTAGGACTGATACCCGCTATAAATAGGATCTATGAGAACAAGTACTTTAATAGGTATGGGTCGTATTAGAACTGGGGCCTATTAAGATTGGGGCCCATTTGACCTCCTGATCACAGGTCAACCCGACGAGCCTTGACAACGTGGGCGTTAAGTGCCTATATTGACCAGTGTGTCCCCAGGGGGTAATGGCAGCCATGGTGCCAGACCCCCAGGCACTACACAAAGACGGCACTGAGAGGGCCAGCCGGGGCGTGAGTGGCACTGAGGGCCAGGGAGGCGTGGACCGTGACAGCTGTGACCCTGAGCTGAAGATCATCCAAGGTTGACTGACTGTGTTTACCTGAGGAGAGAGAGAGAGAGAGAGAGAGATAATGATTATGATGACAATGATGATAATTTGTAAGACTGCAGCACAACACAGGGTGAGGGAAGGTGCCAGGGTGAGGGGAGGTGCCAGGGTGAGGGGAGGTGCCAGGGTGAGGGAAGGTGCCAGGGTGAGGGAAGGTGCCAGGGTGGGGAGGGGTGGTGCCCAGGGGTGAGGGGAGGTGCCAGGGTGAGGGGAGGAGGTGCCAGGGTGAGGGAAGGTGCCAGGGTGAAGGGGAAGGTGCCAGGGGTGAGGGAAGGTGCCAGGGTGAGGGAGGTGCCAGGGTGAGGAGAGTGCCAGGGTGAGGGGAGGTGCCAGGGTGAGGGGAGGTGCCAGGGTGAGGGAAGGTGCCAGGGTGAGAGGTGCCAGGGTGAGGAGGTGCCAGGGTGAGGGAGGTGCCAGGGTGAGGGAGGAGGTGCCAGGGTGAGGGAAGGTGCGGTGAGGGAAGGTGCCAGGGGTGAGGGAAGGTGCCAGGGTGAGGGGAAGGTGCCAGGGTGAGGGGAGGTGCCCGGGGTGAGGGGAGGTGCCAGGGTGGGGAAGGTTCCAGGGTGAGGGAGGCGCAGGGTGAGGGAAGGTTCCAGGGTGAAGGGAGGCGCAGGGTGGACGGTGGTGCCAGGGTGAGGTGCCAATGTGAGGGGAGGTGCAGGGTGAAGGACGGTGCCAGGGGTGAGGGAGGGAGGTGCCAGAGGTGGGGAGGTGCCAGGGTGAGGGAGGTGCTGGGGTGAGGGGAGGTGCCAGGGTGAGGGAGGTGCCAGGAGGGCCAGGAGTGGAGGTGCCCAGAGAGTGGAGGCGCCAGGGTGAGGGGAGAGGGTGCCAGGGTGAGGGTAGGTGCCAGGGTGAGGGGAGGTGCCAGGGTGATGGGAGGTGCCAGGGTGAGGGAAGGTGCTGGGGGTGCCAGGGGAGGTGCCAGGGTGAGGGGAGGTGACAGGGTGAGGGGAGGTGACAGGGTGATGGGAGGTGCTGGGTGAGGGGAAATGTCTGAGGCGTGAGGAACTCCCCCAACACGGCTCATCTTCACAAAAATGCATCACCAGAAAATGCCTCAAAGGTCAACCTGTGTGTGTGTGTGTGTGTGTGTGTGTGTGTGTTTTATGATCATACAACAACAAATAATAATAATAATAATACAAATAATAATAATAATAATATAATATCCTCGACAATAAACAGAGTAACACCTGGACCATGAAATTAGGTCATTAACCCACATCACCTTAACCCCTAACCTCTCGCTAATGACCTCGGCTTCAGGTGTGTGTTTGGTCTTTATGGATAAGAACATTTATATATATACATCGTTTATCTGGTTAATTAGGGTAGTGTAAATTATTGATATATGTAAATAGCCCACATTTATATAAGTACTATTGTCTATGTGTTGATAAAGGCTATTATAGTTAGGTGTGTAAATATATATGTTTATAGCTAAATAGATAATGGTAATTTAAATTATAGGATTACCTGGAGATTTGCCCCTCATCCACCTTATTTCACCCTCATCTTAATCATCTTCATCTAACCTAACCTACTCAACCCTACCCTATCTTACCTAACCCTAATCCCTACCCTTCCCCTACCCCTAACCCTACCCCTACCCTAACCCAACCCTACCCTACCCTACCCTACCCCTACCCCTACCCCTACCCTAACCCACAAAACGTTTTCGCTAGACTAAACGAGACGAAAACTGACGTCAATACTAGTGGGCTGTGCATCATTTATTCACATCCCGTTTTTTTATGAGATTTTGCACACACTATTTTCTGCCAAGTTGAGGGAATCCTGGCGAAGCTGAGTCCTGACAGAATGGTCGTGTTGGTGATTTTCTCAAGGATGTTTCAAGGATGTTTCTGAGATTAGATTAGTTAGACGTGTGAGAAGCATGTGAGGCGGCGTCTTGGAGGGATTACTGGAAGAGGAGCGAAGAGAAGAGCAGTTGGGGAAAGAGGAATGAGATGAGATGGGGAATATTTTTTTTTGTGGGAAGTGTCTGTGTGAATGTCTCTACACTGGTGCCTATTTAAAAGGTTTATTATTATTTGTTGTAATTGGTTATTAAATTGACCCATTTTACCATTTTATATATATTAAGCATTTTTTTAGGTTTTATAGTTAATACTTGACTATATTAAATTACTTACATGTAGTGGTATAAAAGAAATCATGGTTGTATGCAATATTTAGTTCAGAACAAACCTTTTATTTTTGTTTTTTATCCAACAAAATGAATTTAATTACACAAGGTTAGAGGAGAGAAGAGAATGAAATAAATTGATATGGTAAATGAAAAGAAAGAAGCGATTGAATGAAAAAAAAAAGCAATAAATGAAATAAATGAAAAGAAAGAAGCGATTGAATGAAAAAAAAAATAAAGCAATAAATGAAATAAATAAAAAGAAAGCAGCGATTGAATGAAAAAAAAATAAAGCATTAAATGAAATAAATAAAAAGAAAGACGGAAAGACATGAAAGCATTGAAAGAATCACTGAAGGGCCAATATGCTCGCCTCCTCCCCCACCACCGGTAAAGGAGACCCAGATAAATATATATTGAAGCCCGAATCTCAAGGGGTCGACCTCACCTCCACCATCATTCTACCTCACCTCCATCATTCTACCTCACTTCTCCATCATTCTACCTCACTTCTCCATCATTCTACCTCTCCATCATCCATCATACCTCCACCTCATTCTACCTCATCTCATTCATCATCACCTTCTCATTCTCCTCACCTCCGTCACCCTCACCTCATCATTCTCACCATTCTGCCTCACGCCTCACACCACACTTCACCACCTCACCTCCACCTACCTCCTCCACCATATTCCTCCTTCATCCTCACCTCCACCACCTCACCTTCTACCTCCTCCCACCATCACCATTCTGCACCACCATTCTACCTCACCTCCACCACCATTCTACCTCTTCTCCATCATTCAACCCTCACATCATCTATCTCCCCCCATCACCGGATCCCTTCACTGCCTTATCCCCCACCCTCTCCCCATCCCCCACCCATCACCACCCTTCCCATCACCAACACCAAACTTCCCTTCCCACATCCCCTCCACCATCCTCCCCTCCTCTATCGCTCCACCCCCCATCACCAACTTCCCCTCTCTCCCTCATCGCCCCATCACCATCCTCCCCCATCGGCCCCATCACTAACACCGTGTGGGAGGGAGCATGAATACCATAGTGTGTGGCGGTCGTAATAAAACACATTCCGGGAGTCCCACAAGGCCCTCCCCCCCCCCACTCCGCCATCTTGGTCGCCTCGCTGCCTCAATGAGACCAAAATATTGGAACGTCGTGAGAAATCGAAGCGGGGGAAGGAGGCTCTTGAGGAAGCTTTATTTGTATATATGGCGGGAATCAAGGGTAGGGGTTTGTTTGTTTGTTTGTGTTTGTTTGGGTAATTTGTTTGTGGTTTTTATTTATTTTGTGGTTATGTTGTTTAGTAAGGTTTTGTTGTAGTGTTGTGATGTTTAGTGCATCGTGTTGGTGTTATTATTATTATTATTATTATTATTATTATTATTATTATTATTATTATTATTATTATTATTATTATTACATGACCTAGACAACAGTTATGTTTCTCCAGAAATACACTTTAACTTTGATGTTTGTGGTTAAGTGTTACCATCAAGTGTTACCATCAAGTGTTACCATCAAGTGTTACCATCAAGTGTGACCATCAAGTGTGACCATCAAGTGTGACCATCAAGTGTGACCATCAAGTGTTACCATCAAGTGTTACCATCAAGTGTTACCATCAAGTGTTACCATCAAGTGTTACCATCAAGTGTGACCATCAAGTGTGACCATCAAGTGTTACCATCAAGTGTTACCATCAAGTG